AATCGTGTGATATATATATATATATATATATATATATATGAATCGATATTTACCAACTGTTACGCTTGAATAACTAGACGAATGATGTAAATAAGCATAAATCATGTTTGAGCAGTGACATCGACATATATTTCTCTATTTTAAAAGTTATTTTATTTCGAATTTGTCTGCACGGAATTAAAATACTTCAATTAAAAAAAGTTAATATGTTTATAGGTATTATCCGGGTCATTATACATTGTTAAATGCCAACTTTTCGTGAACATTGCAGTTCATTTATGTTATTTCATAATATTGAAATAACATGCTGAAATGCCCATTATGAAATGATACAAAAAATTTGCATCTAATATAATATTAACAATTGTATTTCGAATATGTCTTGTAAATCACACGACGAGAGAAAATATTAAAATATAGAATAATTAATTAAGTATTGATTAATTTTCTTGTATCAAACAAATTTGAACTTATCAAGAAATCTCATAATGTTTTACTAACCAATCAAATTATACTTCTTTTTTTTAATTGACAATCTATCTAACTAAAAAATTTTGATCAAAGTTAAAATTGCATCTTTTGTAATATCGCAATATGAATCAAAATATTTTAATTACTATATAATTTTTACAAGTTTTAAATATAAAAACAGAGAGATAATTAGATGAAACTGATTTGTATAATGTAAATAGAGATAACACAAAGATAAATCTAAAAGAGATTAGAAAATAGCTAATAATATTACTTAATACCAATAATTAGCAATTTGGACGTTGCGTTTGACGCTGACGTTTTTATCGAAAGAAAATTCTCAAGAAGGCACTGTAAAAAAAGTCGATTAATTGTCAGTCGCATTTTTCTGCCATTTTGTTACCGCTTGTAATTGTTCTGGACTGTAATCACGATTTTATTATGAGCAAGTTACACGCGCTCACGGCGAATAAACGTGAGACTACGATATAAAAATATATTAGCATCGCTGACGAAGGCCCGCATATTTCGTGAAAAAATCGATGTTACCGAATGTAATATCGAAACAAAAACGATATCACTTAAATTCCATATATTAAACGCGACATATAAATTACAGCTGCAAATTTTTGCAAACCACATTATAGTTATGAAGATATGTATAAATAATTATTAATTTTTTAATTACAAACTTGTAAAATACTTAAGAGCAGTAAAATAGTTAATGATTTTAATCGCATTTTAATTCTGGAGAGAGAAAATTATTTGTTAACGCGTTAATTTTGAGTAAGTGATATTTTGTATACATTCAACTAATTTATATTTTTGTTTTGACATGAAAATGTTTAATATTTTTTATCTTGAAATATCTGAAACTTGCAAGAATAAACAGTAGGAAAAATAAAAATATATATCTAGTTTTCATTTGTACCAAGTTTCTTACATGTATATATTCATCATTCGAGAATAAATCGAAAGCGGTTTCGGAAGCATATGCAGTCATCTAATATATCCAGATTGTTTTTCTTCCGACCGATTACCTTTCCCACGATGGTTTCTAGTGGGCAATGCGACCGCATTCGTATCGCATGGTCTCTCGAGTGCACACCAGCTCGCATGCACACGTGCACTGCGCGAGTTTAACTTATACAATGTGAATTTATATACATCCCACGACACGCTGAGAGAAAAGCCCTGGAAGAAGGCCTTGATAGAAGCGAATGCGGTCGCATAGTGCAATTGTGATATAACGATGATAGTACCGATCTAATTTGATTTGAGAGAAATAAAATCAAACGGACCGAATCGAAATATCTGCAGTAAGCATTTTACTTTTTATTTTATCTATTAGCCTTTAATAACAACGAGGTAATTGATCGACGGGGTAATTATCGCTGTCCTTACTTTCTTTAAAATAATAAATAAGGCTAAACTTTATTAATTTCACAAGCATACAATAAATGGATAGAAAGTAAAGAAAACGAAGAAGGAAATCAATGGCAGGACTTGCGACTGTACGTGCCCGATATGCGCTTGAGAACATGTACGCTATACGCTGCGGAAAAGTGGCGGATATGAGAACCCCACTTGGTCCGGATCGCGGGCGCGGCCTTTCCCCTCGGTCTATAAAGCCACTAGAACTTCACTTCCACCAAACATTCGCTCGACAATCCGTCACTCATTTGCTCTCACCATGTGGCTGCTTATCCTTGCAGGTGAGTGCATTCACATCACGTTTTCATAGAAAAAAGACCAAATTTTCATATGGGATGCTTCATGGAGGAGGAGGGGGGGGGGGGGTGCTTCCGAAAAGTGCGTACCATCCGATCCGTCATTTTTTTCTTTTTTACTCAACTTACCCCCCTGTGGACAATACGCTGCGCAGTGTACGTGCGACGATAATCCACGCGTGTGTTTCTTATTGCGAAACGCGGGTGTGAATTTTGTGCAGGGAAAGCAAATCCTGTTGTTGAATAAGATGGAATCATTTACAAAAAGTTGAAACATGCGCATTTTGGATACTTTTATTTTTTACAAATATCTCCGTTTTCGGTGTTTTTCATTTATATATGTATGTAAGTGAATTACAAAGCAATCAGGGTTGAAATCACAATTAAGTATTGTTAACGCTATTTCAAGCAATAAATAAAAACAAAACGATCAAATATATTTCAAGTGAAAACGTTTAAAATAGATGCATTTTCACGATTTTTACTCTGAAAGCACTGTACACGCATCCGCGCGCGTTTAATTTTTAAATATTTCAAATCTCAATGAATACAAACTATTAATTTTAACAAGGTCTCTGCAGGATTAATGTAAATTCCAAATAAAAATGTATCTATAAATACATATTAAATAATTTTGATTAAAATAAAAAAAAGTTTTATTCTAGTAAATAACTTATATTGAAATAATAAATAACTTATACTGAAGTTTTTATTAACAAATAAGTGCTAAGATCATTCACATTAAGTTAAAAACAGAAAGTTTTTAGAATTTAGTATTATAACTATTTATTTATTATTTTATTTAATATTTTGAAATTGTCAAAGTTCTATCATCATTTATATCAAATGAATTTTTCTTTCCTTTCAAATTATTAGATCTGAGTGAAATTCATGCTTTATATGGTAGCTTTTAATCGATTAATGATTTATATTTTAAATAAATAAAAAACAAATAAAACAGAATTCTTGTTGTGATTTTTAAATTTGATTAAACTGTGTTGTTATAAATAACTTAGGGTATGAGCAATAATTCAACAATAAGAAAAAGGCTATTAATAGTATTTTGATTAAATCGTATTGAGCCTTTAAATTATATCTATCATTTACGGTAACAAAGAAGCGTTCAAGTATCATATCCTTAAATATTATTTAATAAAGAAATTTGATAAAGAAATGTAAAGATAATTGACTATTAAAATTTCTTTTATCAATTAACACTTTACATTACATTTCATATAAAGATTTAGATTAAATGAAATAATGCATGTAAGAATATAAGAGAATCTTGCGTGTAAGAAAGTGAAATATTTTTATTATTTCCTGTTCAAAGAAAGGAAAGTTAATTTACAAGTTAGATTACAAAATTCCTAAATAAGAAGATACTTGACTATTACAAAAAGTAATTATGTATGTAACTTTCGTAAATGTTCAAACTCTATTGATTATCCAAGCTTTTAATTTTTTCAATTGTATTGATTTCCGAGTTATTGGATGTACTCACATAAAATCTATATGTGCATTGCAATAAAGTATTTGTCTCTGAAATAATTTACAAATTTGAAATATTTTGTATTTTGTATTTTAAAATTCCATAATCTGTTTTCTACAAAAAATCATTTGCCTAAATAGATGAATAGTTCCTTTTTGATTAGAATAATATGTGATCAATAAATTAAAATATTTTACACTTAACAAATTGATATATAATATAATTTAATATGTTCAAGTCTAGCAACATAGATGGCAATATTCATGTATTAGATCAGTAGAAAGTTGCTTCTGACACACAAAGTTTACGCAAAGAGCGACTACACACTGCAATCTCTTGGTTTCTAACGTTTCCCGACATGTTCGCCATACAATTTTATTTTCTTTTACAAGTTTCTTCATAGTCTACGACACCGCTGCAAAACATTCTTCTCGTAATCTGAAGCTATCGGATTTTCTCATCTTCGAAAGGAACCCACGTAATAATAATCACGAGAAGCCGGAGGGTCTCTTTACTTAATTTCCTCCTCGACACACTAATATACAATGCCGCAATGAGAATTCGAATCTACGTTTCATGATCTCTTGCTTTTTCCAATGTATAAAAAAACATCAAGTTAAGAAACACAGTTTCCTTCCTAAACTATTATTGCACGTTATCGAGATCTTCCACGTCATCGCTATAACGACAGAATAAATTTTTATTCACATACTTCACAATCAGATCTTTATCACAATATATTTTCTTAATTTTGTTATTATGTCATTTATTTGCACATAAAATATTTACTAGTTAAAATAAAATCTTTTCAAAACAGATTTAATGACAAAATAAGTGTAAAATAGAATAATGATAATTAAAAACAGATTAATTTAAAAAAAAATACAAAATATTTCTTTTATTTGAATAATAAAAAATATTTATATTACAAAAAAATACATAAAGAATAATAATAATCAAATATAATTTAACTTTATTAAGTGCATTCTTTATATTCTATCTCTTATTATCCATGTAGTGATACAATGATAACTATAATTTTTATACAAATTATACTCATCTTTATGTGAAAGTATTTAGTTAGTTTTTAGTCACAATTATATAGTTATTATCAATACTTTTATGGACTTATTATTTATTTAATTATATTATTAATTTAATCATTCGTTATACGAATGGATAATGGCGGCCAGATCGGTCAAAAACAAAAAATCTCATGCGCTTGTATCGACGTCGGTTGAGAAATCAACATCGAACATAAACTGAGTGAACGAACGGTATTGCCTTTCTAACCAATATATTGCAGCTCAAGACTATAGCTGTAAGTTACAACCAACCGAAAGTAGTCGAGACGAAAGATCGACTATTTATAAACGTACAATATAATGGCACATTTTGTTGTGCATAGTAAAATTTTCGCATTATGTTGTTTTCGTGAAAACGTTTTTGTTGGAACGATTCACGCATATACAAATTTGTATATGTGTAACGAATTGAGAATTTTGCATACTTGTACACGTTCTTCGTGTATGTAGTGTCATACTTCATTCGAAATGTGCGTGATAGAATGACCCGTGGCCACAGACAGAAATCTGCACATTTGAGTTTGAAATTAAGACTAGAACGAAAAGTGAAAACTGCTGGTAATATCACAGAACATACGTAAGTGTAATACTGCTCGCATGGAATATTGCAGTCAAGGCTCTTTTGCAACTTTTATCTAGCCTAGTCTTATTTATCAGTTCTCATAACATATTTAAACAGATAAATCTATGTTGTAATATTTAAACCAATATTAGTTGTCGATAAGTCTTCTCGCTTCTATCTACCTTAAAAACGAAAGACTTAAATAAGATTCAATTTAATGCAAATGTTACATAAGATTATCAATTTGAAAAATAATTCAATTTTCAGACACTTTTTCTTTCTTTTGTTAGATTAGAGCGGAAATATTATACGGCCTTGAAGAATCTTGATCTCAATCAGATTGCACTCAGGACAGATTATCCGAAAGTGAAAGGTCGGTGGCGTGGTTTCGCATTGTCCTTATTGCATCATTAATTTCACCTCTAATCCAACGCTCAAACCTATTAAACCTAATACGTGGTTTTGAAAGACCGCTTGTTCATGTTATACCGATCGAATCTTTGCTTGGTAGTAATTATAATTACATTATATATCAGCGGGTAGAAGAAAAAAGTATGTGAAATTTCTTTTGAGAAAAAATTAAATTGATATACAAGATACAATACAAAGCATCAATTAATATTTAATGTATATGTTGCAGTTGATTAGAATCATATTGCATAATGTATATGCACCATATTTAAGGTTGGTTGAGCTTGTGTAATTATGCCACAATAAGTAATTTTTATTTATCTATTTAGAAGATTGATAAACGTAATAATATGTTACAATATAATATATAATTTATTCTTTAAAATTCTGAAGTATATCTTCTGTTATGCAAACTTTGAGATGCACAAGTTTGTATCTAAAGGCAATGATATAGACTATGATATAGATTTTTATAGCTATCAATTAGTATTTATTTATTAATTAATTAGTATTTATTTATTTATTAATAGCATTAATAAACATTTTTCTTGTATTAATATTATATATATATATATATCTACGATATATATCATATCGTAATTATACTTAAATTACTTAGTAATTAATTTTTGCTATATTACATATTATTTCAAATTTTTAAATAAACAATATAGAATAAATAATTTTGTATATTTTGTATATTTTTATATTTATTTAAAAATTTTTTAAAGAAACCTTTATAATATAATTATTATTATAATATAAAAGACTATAAAAAGATTATAAAAGACATGCATTAATTATGTATAAATAATTATTTAATAACTTTCAAAATGCAATAAACATAAAATATGTATATATAAATATAAGTTGATTTTGCCAGAAGCATGTAAATGAAAATGAAAATGTAGATGAAAATTCAAAATCGCTGGCTAAATTGAATAATATATTTTAAAAGTGTAATAAAACTCCGTGAGGCGTTAATTGGATGAGAGATTTGTTAATCGTGTGCGTGCACTTGCGATATAGGGGATGTTACTTAATCGCGCCTTCCTAAGGACGCCCACGTCCTATTACTCAACGAGGGAAAAATTACGCACATCCGCAAAATATCTCACGAACTAACAAAGGAAGGAAAGCTAGAGTTGGGAGATTATTTGCGCGCTTTCTTTTCTTAATTTCAAAAGAATCTGCACAAGCGCGTATAAACGTGATTTCTACGGAATACAAGATAAACTTCATCTCCATATAAATTTTAATAAAAACCTTAATTGAGCATTCTAAGGGCCAGTTTTATAATCTTCGATTTTCTTATTTTACTTGAAATTGATCAATCACATTTATCGGTAAGCGGAATATATCAGAATTGATTAATCATTGTTAACACTTAACTGGTCATTTAAATTAACTGAAGATTGTGAAACTGGTCCTAAGTGTCAGATCGTTAAAAAAAATCTTGAATAATAGATTACCTGATAGAGAAAAAGAAAATAAATCAAGGAACTCTATGTACTGACAATCTCACAATATATTAATTCGTTATTAATTTATTAATTCAGAAGTTTTAGATTAAATAAAATATTTTTTATAAGCAATCCGACAAAAAA